TGGTGACATAAAAATGAAATTAAATGTAGTCTTCTGTGCTGGAAATCCTTAGGCAATAGAATGGATGTAACCTGGACTCTGGCATCAATAATGTATAAAATGGAGATAATAATAATAACAACTCTTAGGCTTGCCTGTACTAAGTGATGTTATGCATGTACAGTCTTGGCAGAGTGCCTGACAAACAGTAAGAGCTCAATAATGTTGGCCATTAACTCTTTGTGTTAGTTCTTGTGAGCTTATATTCATCTCCCTGTCCAAAGTCAATAATACTATTATCAATAGAACCATTACACTATGCTTTATCATAAATATATAACTATTTTTTTAGCAGAAAGGTATCTTATACCCCTACCCCCATGGTAAAGATAAGGAAACTGAGGCCAAGTGAACCAAAGAAACTTTAAAGATCCCACTGCTGATCAGTAGCAGAGCCACAGGAGTATATGTGCTTTGTTCACTGTAGTAACGAATAATTCCTCAAAATTAACTGTTAAGTGGAGATGCCAGGACTGTAAAATATGCTTTTAAAATGTCTAATTTTGATATTAAGTTTTTATTAGAATAAAAGTGTATGCAATTTAGGCATTTTCTATATATGGTAAACAAATAAACCTATTGTAGTTGGTTTGCTTTTGTTAGACTTGGTGGTCTCTAAGCTGTACTACTAATCCACTCATTAAACATTCAAGTTAAAAGGGACTTTATAGCACTTCTAATTAAATGTGCATGTGCTGTGCCATAAAGATTAATGAAATTGGGGGCCAGAATAGTCATGTGACTTGGCCAAAATCAAACATATTTAAGCCACCTTAGTTGTGAGGATGGTTAAAATAGTTAAGGGGTGTTACAGAATTTCCAGCTGTTTTGGCTGGGTTGAACCTAGTATGCTTTTGGGGAGATCTGACCGTTGGATCAGGATGGAGAAGACCTACATTCTAGTACATGTTAGTTTTCAATTTCTCTTGTTTCAATGTCCTTGTCCACAAAATAGACGTAAAAATGCATGCTATGTCTACCTTATCAATGGGAATACAATATTAGGTAACGTGTAAAATATAAATTAAAAGTTATTTCATTATTATTGCTAGAGTGAGAATTGAACTTACTCTAAGCTAAACTCAACTTTCTGTGGGAACTTAGTGTTACAGTATGCATTTTATCAAAGTGAAATAGGTCAGAGATAGAAAGTAAAATGATGGTTAAAATCTCTTTTTAAAGGATTTTTTTGGGGGATGAAAATAGATATGTTGCTTTGGCCCTGTGAGTCGCAAAATGTTCTCTAGTGATTTGTAACTGGCTCAGCGCAGGTTACTTAAGTTTTCTTCTTTAGCTGCCTTGGTTATGTGTAACATTTTATGCTCCTGATTTACTTAAACTTCTGTTGAAATATTATTCTGACAGTATCTGATAGCCAAGAAATTCTGCATCATTCATATGAGTTCCTAATAGTTATTTTTTGTGGACAGGAAGTCATAAATTGCCAAGAATAAATGAACTTGAAAATACAGAGGTGTTTTTTGATCTTTAAGGGACTGACTGATTATATTTCTAAATGGATGATTTAATTTGATTAAAATAACCAGCCGTGTGTTTCTTCATGACGTAGATAACTTGATTATACATCCTAATTAACAGTTAAAAATTTTGATCTGGTTAGCCAAAATATTTTCTATAACTATGATTTAGAAATGTATTTTACAAAAGATTAAATTTTATTTTTGCCTAGCCTGTTAATCTTGACTCTGAGGTTACTATTTTAAGGGTTTTGTAGGGTTGCTTACCCCTAACTCTTCAAGAAGCTTTTTAAACAAAGCCTCTATAAAAGTAACAGTAACTTTATTTCAAGATTATAATATTTAAGAAACTATTACGAATAGAAGATTGCATGTACATTCATGTTATTGCACATGTGTGCTGTTGCTTACATTCTTGATATAAAAGTCACTGGATCCTATTTTGTGAGAGAGTGAAAATTCAGAAGTTCAGGGTATTTCCAATTAAATAAATGTCTTTGAAAATCCTCTCCATGGACAAATACTGCCTATGCCTTCACAGACTTACCCATTTCCTTTCTATGAACCCTGGGTTCCCCAGGAGTGTTCTTGCCCTCTTGGATCTCTTTCTCTTCTGGACTCCTAAGAGACGTCTGGGACAGGAAAACTGTGTGGCAGTTATTTGTGTTGCTCTCTGATTATTTTTGAATGCTCCTAGTCTCCACTGTACTGTACTTGAAGAGGGGTCCCATTGTGTACTTCGTTATTTCCCAGAATCTAGCACAGAGCTGGGCACATAGTAAGCACTCAATAAACACATAATTAATCAACACTAACTGGGAAATTTCTTAAGGTCTTGGATTCTGTTTCTAATTATCTGCATGGTACTTCATCTAAGGCCATATGCTGATAGGTGCTTATTGATTGATTTGATTGAAGCTATAAACCCTTATAGAACACCCACTCAATTATTGAACTCCTATGGTAATGTGAATCTGAGCCCCCAGTCTTTTTCCTTATTTAAACTCGTCTTGTTCAAAGAATTTTAAATTTGATGTTTCTAATTGAGGTTACCTGGGTTAGCACTTGCACTGGGGAGGATTCTTACATACCGGTCATTAGAGGTGGAAACCTTAAGTTCATTCTTTCTCATTGCACATTGAGGACCTAGACCCCCCTGTGGTTAAATGGCATGTCTAAGGTTATTCATTAATTCATCTGATGTTACATTTTGAGTCCCTGTTTTGTTCCAGATGACATACTGAGTTAAGGGTAAAGTCTCTTATTTCATACTTCTCTAGCCGTAGTCCCAATTCCAATCTCAACCTCAATTTAGCTACCATTAAATACTTATCTCTTAGTGTAGTGATACCTTTCCTTCCCTTTCCCACTTCCTAAACATACACTGGAGAAATCGTATGTCCAAAATTTCTGCTGGGTCCTACTTAAGGTGTATGTTTTCATTTTTTTTTTGTAATTGTGGCACTTTATGGTGGATTTCATAGCTCTTCACTTCCAAAGCTAGGACAATAATATATTTTAAAACTCTTGAGGAATTTTTTGAAAAATGTACACTATTCATGATAAGTGAGGAGCTCTTAAAATATCCCGGAAACAAAATAGGATTTGGGAATCTATGTCTCAGCGGACATGAATTAGTGTGTTTGGCTGAATGTGTGATGATATAATGGCTCTGCCACTGAAAGGCGTATAGAATCAGGCTAGGATATAGATTTGTCACTCAGCAACAGCTGTCATCTTAGATAAGTAGTTCTACTTTTCAGTGCTTGGAGAAGACCAAAAAATAGCTGCTGTTTAGTCCTAGGTATAAAATTATGTGCTTAGACATATAAAACCTAGTTATAAAACTTTATAGTTGTTTTTTGTTGGGGGGAGCAGAGGAGGAGGGAGAATGAAGTGACTACAGTAGTGATTATGGGTAAACTGAAGTTTTTGGTCAGAAACTTCCCCTTTATTTAGAAGTTTGGTTTGGTTCTTTAACAACCTGAATATCTTCACAAGTGACAGGTGAGGAATTGGGGAGATAGAGAGAAATGACATTTTTTCCCCTGTGGACACTTTATTCTCTGTGGGCTTTGACACAGCTGTTAGATATTCTTGCCAGAAATGCTGCCTGGGGTTGCAAGAGAAAAATGTCAGTGACAAAAGGAAAGAAAAGTAAAGGAACCATGGGATGTATTTTTCACAGGGCTGCAAACCTGCTGCAGGTAAGTGAGGTTGGCAGCAACATGATTTGGCATTCTGTCCCGTTCTTTTTCCATCTTACTAGTGCCAAGGACTGATGCTCAAGAAGCTCTGACCCTTGACACCATTGAAAAGTCACTTGTCAGAGTACAGCACTTGGTTCCAGCCTTTACTCATGTATATATTTAAATCCAAGGAAAGCAATCAGAATTCTAGATTTAAGGGTGGGTTAAAGAAATGGATTCTTAGGCTTGACTTGCAGCATCATTTGACCTAAGAAAATTATACTAGATAATCTGAATTTGAAAAATTTTAGGACATACAATTCTTGGCATTAAGCTCCTAAAGGTAAATATTTTAAATTCTAGAAAATCTTCCCTGGTAAATCTGGCTCTAGCCTTCTCCATCAGTCAACTTCCTCTGCCCCCCAGCCCCACTTGTCTTCAGGAGTACAGAAGACACAGGAAAGGACCATCTGGCCCAGCATGCCAACTTTTTATTTGGTTGCTCTCAATCCCACCTTCCTGTTTGGATCACCCCTCCCCTCTGCCCATACTTCAGAAACCAATCAAGGTGTCTCCTGAACTCATTTATTCCCTTTGTTTCAACTGCCTTTTTGGGTAACTTTTTCCATATGCTTACATCCTTGACTCACAACAGAGGTTTTTTTCCCATCCAAAATGGCCTGATTAGACTCTTAGGAAAAACCATTTACTCAAATATATGACAAAGTACTTCTAAAGATCCCAAGCAGCTTTTCATTACTTTTGATGGCCATAGCTTATGTAAGTAGAGGAAAAATTTCTGTGTTTAAAATAGCTGACAGGCAGCGACGCTGAGTGGTATGGAATTGAAGAACATATTGTTAGCACTGAATCTTTACTCGCACAAATGAAGTAGTCTAATCTAGGTTTGGACCTATAATTTATAATTATTTTAGTTTAATTTGGCATTTATTTTGTTGACCCAGTTTGGCCTCATTCCCTTCAACATGGTGACATTAGTACTATTTATATTGCCTGTTGTGGACCAATTTTCTTCAGCTGTTGCTAAAACTTACTAAAATGCCAGATGTCATGTTGGAAACACGAAACCTGAAAGAAGGTCATAAATCACAAAAACAAACCATAAAAAATAATAAAATACCCTGAGTGCTGTGCTCTGGAGCTTCCCAGCTTTAAGTCTCCTTTTGTTTACCCCTCTCCCCACTTCACTGCGTTTCCCACCCCCATCTTTTAGGGCCAGGGGTGAGGGGAGCTCAGCAGTTTCTCACCTAAGACTTGATTGTTTATTTTGCAGATTCTGAGCAGAGCACTGGTTCAGATTCTGAGGTACTCACTGAGCGGACTTCCTGCTCCTTCAGCACTCACACTGACCTGGCCTCTGGCGCTGCAGGCCCTGTGCCTGCTGCCATGTCTTCCATGGAGGAGATTCAGGTGGAGCTGCAATGTGCTGACCTCTGGAAGCGGTTCCATGATATTGGAACTGAAATGATCATCACCAAAGCAGGCAGGTAAGGACAAATTCCTTTGAGTGGCCAGATTCAAAGAATTTGCAGAAGTAGGAGCCATTACATTCTTCCATTCTTATTTATTTGTGATGGCATCAATAAAACCAAAGCAGCTTGCGCTCACTTTTCTGCATTTGGACATCTTGGTAAAGTGGTTCTGTTGTGTTTGCTGTGATTGTATTATGTTCCTCCAAGGGCCATTCAAATGTAAGTCATGTAAATCACAAACATTTTCCACCTACAAATGTATTTCAGCTAATACTGAAAGTCCATGGTATCTTAACAGCCAAAATATAAACAATTATGCTACTTTTGTGTTTTCAAAGCCAGTGTACATAATCTTACATGTCATGGGGAACAAAAATCCCATCTTACTGATTATGAGCTGTTTTCATGAACATAGCCATTTAAAGTAAAATAATATTTTGATTGGTCCAGTTTATCTACAAGTATATAAGGAAACCTCCCAATACAATAAGATATTTCCAAAGCAAGTGTTTACTTCACCATTAAATACTTTCAAGAAGTTTGCTTGCCAAATAACAACTTGCATCTTCTAAAGTATTTCAAGAAACAATGCTTTTGTAATAATTTTTTAAAAAAGAATTGGCTTGATGCATGTTCTGAGCCCTGTTGATGGTCCATTGTGTTTTATCATTGACTTGAAATTATCACACAACTTTATTGGTGACCTATGGAATTTCTTGCAAAACTGTTTTTCTAGGATTACAAAGTTTTAAAAACACAGCTTCTCTTGATATAGACACTTTTAGTTAAGTGTGTTTACTCCTTTATTGGTGTGTTTCAGCTTTCCATAGTTAAGTATCTATTTTGTGCTGGACACTCAACACACATCTTTGAAACTTACAGGAATCCTATGAGGTTGGACATAATCATCCCATATATGGATTAGGATGCAGAGGATGAAAGACATTAATTAGCTTGTCTGAGGCACATAGGTACTAAGAGGCAGTTCCAGAATTCTGCATAAACCTGTGTGGCTCTAAAACAGTGGTCTCAACTCTGAACTGTTAAGAAATGGTTGTAGTTCTTGCCCCTTGGATTCAAAATGAAACTGTTTAGATAAAATTAAATTTGGGCCAGGCATGGTGGCTCACGCCTGTGATCCCAGCACTTTGGGAGGCCAAGGCGGGTGGATCACCTAAGGTCAGGAGTTCGAGACCAGCCTGGCCAACATGGCAAAACCCCGTCTCTTTTAAAATTACAGAAATTACCTGGACATGGTGATGGGTGCCTGTAATCCCAGCCACTTGGGAGGCTGAGGCAGGAGAATTGCTTGAAGCCAGGAGGCAGAGGTTGCAGTGAGCCGAGATCATGCTATTGCACTCCAGCCTGGGTGACAGAGCAAGTCTCTGTCTCAAAAATAAAAAAATAAATAAATTTTGGACTAAGCTTTTCAGCATATAGGAATAGTTCATTGAAATTAAGCAAAACAATTATGCTACTTTTGTGTTTTCAAAGCCAGTGTACATAATCTTACATGTCATGGGGAACAAAAATCCCATCTTACTGATTATGAGCTGTTTTCATGAACATAGCCATTTAAAGTAAAATAATATTTTGATTGGGTCCAGTTTATCTACAAGTATATAAGGAAACCTCCCAATACAATAAGATATGACAAAAACATGAAGTTAAAATAAAGCTGAAATTTTGTTTATCTTCTTTCTCTTCTGGAACTCTCTTCCTTCTCTCAGTAGTGAATAAAACCATTAAAGGCTTCCTAGGGGGAGCAGCTGGGCTGGATAATTGTGTTCAATACCATCTCTTTTTTGTTGCTTGGGTCTCAGTGTACTTCTGTTCCACATTTTGGAGTGTAAAGTCTTGGAAGAAACAAAGTAACTCAAGGAAAATTTTTTTAAGGTTTTGGTAGAAGAGTTGGTTTGGAGAGAGGAGAAATATTACTTTTTTTTTTTTTTGTCTGTAAGATTTTCCAGTTTTCTTTTTGAGTTTTTACTTTATTACTCTTGGGTCTGTGCATTCCAGTCATGTTTGTTCCTGGTATCACTCCTTTATTCCCTGTCCTTCAGTGAATTGAGTTCATTTGAGCATCTCTTTGACAATCCTCTTGTGACTCATTTTGTAATTTCTTCTGCAGTATTTTCATTTCCGTATCTCTGATTTCACAAATTCACCTTAATATCTGGATACTCTACATATTCCCCAAGACAGACACATAGTTTGTTCTTTAGTAATAATTGAAATCATGTGTTTAAGTTTAGAAACTACATCAATGCATTCAGTTGTCTCAACTGTTGTTACTACATCTAATTCTTTTCAGGTAATTCTGAAACAACTCAGAATCATACAAATAAGGCTTTCTCTTCTGTGAATTTTCTTCATTCCTTCTCATTCTCCTGGTTGATTTCTTGCTTCTCACTCATTTTTCTTCCTGTACAGTATTGTCAGTATTATTTTCCATTTTAATTCCAAACTCCATCTTCTTAGTTATGTTAGTTATATATGGCTTTCTCTCCTTTTTCTCACTTAGATGATCTTAGTCAACATCTACCTCCTCCCACACCCCAAACTGTGATCCTATTGATTCAGAGCTACTGAAGTCTATAGAGCCCTTAGTCTTTGAGTGTACCAACCCAACCTGCATAATCAGCACCATGGACAGAGGTGCTTGCAAGGATTAATGGGTTTAGAAGACAAAAGAACTGTCCTAAATGTAGCCATAAAATTAAAACCAAACACATCTCTTTTTATAAAACATGAAAGATTAACTTTCCTTTAGAAGGTTGTGACTTCACTTGATATTCTATGCTAAAATGTGACAAAAAGAAAAAAAAGACTTGCAAAGATTTTAAGAAGAGAATTCAAAGGTAGTCACAGAATTTTAAAGCAGGGGGGGCACCATGGAGATTATCTAGTCGATTTCCTTTGTTTTATAGGTGATGGGGTTAAATGACTTATCCAAAGTCACATAGTTCATTCATTTTAGAAGCTGGATACTGGAAAGAGATGGGTAGCTTCTCCATTGAAGGTCATATAACTGTTCCAGACAAAGCAGATACTGAATTTAAAAATCTAACATCTTTCTTTGTAAAGTTATGAAGAAAAGAAGTTTCTCTTTTTCATGTAATACAGCCTCTCTAGGTGACTGGGGGAAACCATATTTTCTTATCTCAGGTAATAAGTGAGAGGACTTTTGCCCTATCTCTGGCAAGATGCCCTCCAAACATTTACATATAGAGGGAAGCTATAAATCAGTGTTATTAAGAAGGGAATTACTTATCTGTATTTAAATGTATAGATTAAGGTTGCCAAATTTTTGGAATTAATTAATGCAAATTAAAGTGCCTAACCTATAGTGAATGTTAGATTTAGTCAATATGAGTATCCCATCATCAAATTTCATTAGCCCACCATAAGACAAAAGTATGAGGCTTTTAAATAAAAATTGTGCAGGTAGGGGGAGAAATGATCTTTTTAAAATGATATACCCATAGAAGCTTCTGAAGAGTAATAAGGTGAGAAAGATGAAATAGTTACATATTAATTTTGTAACTATATAACAATTAGCCACCATCTCTATTACAGGACTGTGATCCTTCTTGTGCTTTCCCTCAGATATGATTATGATGTCACTGACCTACTGCCAGGGGATATTAGCCTTTTGGGTTGCTTTTCCTGGATGAGTAGTGAGTGTGTAACTAGCACAGAGAGCCTCTCCTGTGACCAACCAGTACCTATTTGCAAGATGGCTGTCTGAGGTCAGGGTATGGTCTATGGCCATGAAATGGAGCAAAGCCAATTAGGCCATATGTGGATCAAGCCTGTGACCTTGACCTCATTAGCACTGTGCTCTGCCCGGCTTGACTAACTAGCCCCAGATGGTTAAGCTTAATGCAGCATTTTGCATACAAGTAGCCTCGAGCACATTCAGGTCAATCCAAATTTTTGAACTGAGGACTTTTTATGTCCGGCTTGATACAAAAGAGCTTGAGCTTGATGTTTTTCTTCTTTCTTATGGTTAAAGAAGAATGGTGAACTTTATTCTAGACTTACTGAAACTCAATACCTCTTTTGGGCTGCTCTGTCTCCTCCTCTCTTCAATTATGAGAGAAGTTGTAAAGTGCTATATCCTGACCTCACTTGCTTTGGCAAGTTTAACAAGCCATTGTGGTAGAAACAAGGTATTGCCCAGAGGCCACGAGAATTCATTTGGTATTTGCTTCCAATTCCACAGGGTCCTTCTTCTGACACACACGTTGACAGCCTGAGAACTTGCAGAAAATTTTCTACAGTTTTACGCATTAAAAAATCTTGGTGGCTCTTTGTTTGGAGACTGGTCACACCTTCCTTTTTTCTTTTTTACTTGAGAGACTATTTTTAGAGTGGTCATTTTCAAATAAACTCAGTTGAAAATATTTTATGGCAACTTGCAATAAACTGAAAAGCTCTTTGGATTATAAGAAGAGTGTAAGTTGCTGTACTAACCTTTAAAAAGATTATAGCTATACCTGATGCAAATGATGAGTTGATGGGTGCTGACGAGTTGATGGGTGTAGCACACCAACATGGCACAAGTATACATATGTAACAAACCTGCACGTTGTGCACATGTACCCTAGAACTTAAAGTATACAAAAAAAAGAAAAGATTATAGCTAATAGGAAATGTATGCCTGGCTACACACATCCACACACATGCCTATGTATACATATATATCACAACAAAGATTAACTAAAAATACAAAGCAGGGTTGAACCCTTGGAGAGTATGAATCATCAAATAGGTCAATTTAAGTTAAGAAGAGATACTAGTTCAGTAGTATAAGTCTCCAGTATATTTCGTAGTGATAATTTCCAAAGTGAAAAAAATGGTCCAACTTTGAGAATTAGAGGACATTAGAATTTGATGTGCTTAGAGTATCTAATAAGAATACATTGTTTAGGCCGGGCACATTGGCTCACACCTGTAATCTCAGCACTTTGGGAGGCCGAGGCGGGCAGATCACGAGGTCAGGAGTTTGAGACCAGCCTGACCAATATGGTGAAACCCCGTCTCTACTAAACATACACATACACACACACAAATTAGCTGAGCATGGTGGCTCATGCCTGTAGTCCCAGCTACTCGGGAAGCTAAGGCAGAAGAATCCCTTGAACCCGGGAGGTGCAGGTTGCAGTGAGCCAAGATTGTGCCACTGCACTCCAGCCTGGGTGACAGAGCGAGACTCCATATCAAAAAACAGCAACAACAACAACAACAACAAAAACAAAAAACATTGTTTTAGCTTTTACCCCTGCTACTTCTCCCATTCTGATTTCTGAGCTTTCTGTTTTATTCATCTATATAGGAGGATGTTTCCTGCCATGAGAGTGAAAATCACTGGCCTAGATCCACATCAGCAGTACTACATAGCAATGGACATTGTGCCTGTGGACAATAAGAGATACAGGTAACAATAACTGGGATGTGGAAATGTGGGTATCACCAGCGTTCCAAGACAATTCTTCAAACTCCTTAGAGGAAATATTTTAACAATGCATACTGTACAGGGAACAAGGAATGGAGACTATGTCAATGGCCTGTGGCAGAGCACCAGGTGGAAAAAGTGTTAACTTTGACCTGGGATTCCCTGCTATGTCTCTGGATAGAATGGGACTGTATAGTGTCTCCCAAGGTAGCAAAAATCAAGTGGATCTTAAGTCTAAATTTAATTTAATTAATATTGGAAGTGATTAACATATTGAATAATTTGGTTTGTGAAATGCTAAATAAATTGGGGTGATTTATTTTGGAAAGAGGAAGGAGAGGTGGAACAATAAAGCATATTAAAATGTATATTTGATGGATTACCCCATAGATGATGGAGAGGAAGAACAGGAGAACTGGGTAAAATTTCAGCAAGAATATCTACTTAGGGAGAATTATTATTCATTGATATGGATTGTGAGTGAGATTGTTAAGTAATTTTCCCTCAAACTGATTAAAAGCCAATGTAATCTCCATGTCTCTTGGATGGCTTATACATAGTTCTTGCCAGAAAAAAAAAGTTGTGGCTTATTTGTTCTCTTGAGGTCTCACTCAAATCAGTAAATCATTACTCATTTTTGAAATATCTAAAGTCTAAGAACTTGGCCCTAAACCCATGAATAGGGAGGCAAGTGTTGATGAAAAAGGCCAGGACTAGTATGGCAAGCAGGGAGAGAGCTGGCTGAGAGAGACACGGTCTGACTTTCAGCACTTAGGAGAAAAGATGCTTCCAGCTTGTGTTAGGGGATCTTGGGAGTTGTGATTTGGACTGGGTGCCTCTATTTCTCAGGGTCCAGGTCCCATGTGGTCCTTTAGAACTGAGAAGCAGGAAGGTGCCAGATCCATGAAGATGTTTCTTCTGAACTACGAGAAAATTGGCAAAGCTGGGAAAACTGACTTCCTTTGCTACCAAACGTCTTGTTTGCAGTGACTTTGTGGGAAAATAGTGTAGAAGATGATGTTCAAAACAGGTTCATCAAAGACAATGTGAACTGCGAGTATTTGGTGGTGTTTCTGAAAAGGTTGCAGTGAGGCAAAGGCCCGTCGTAGAAATTCCTCAAAGTCCAGATTCTTAGCAAGGAAATGGTTAACCAGTGAGAGACTTGGAAGGGCTCTGCACATGGCTGCATTTTATAGGACAATATGGAAGATGTTTTTAATAAGGAACAAAATCCTGAACAAATGGCCAAGGGATTATATGGTTTGCATTTGAAAGGTGAAAGGTTGCAGTAAAATGCCTTTTCTATAGCTAGACATGTGAGTTCAGGATGCCTGTGTGCACACAGGGGTGCATGGCATGGAGAGAGGGAAGAAAGGAAGAGGGCTGTGAGAATGTTTTCCTTGTGAGGGCTGTAGATTTGATCATTAACCACAACACTTCTCTGCCCTCCCCACTCCATCTTTTTGTCCATTTCTATCTCTATTTCGTTTCCCTGCTTATCTGCCCTTCTCTTTTCCTCCTTTGATTCTCTGTTTCTTTCCCATTACTTCTCCATTCCTGTAATCTCTTTGTTTTTCTCTCCTTTCCCCTGTCTCAACTTGTTTCCTGGACCTCTGTCCCTTCTCTGCCTCTGTCTCTGAATTTTCCTCTCTTTCTCTTTATCTCAGATATGTGTATCATAGCTCCAAGTGGATGGTGGCTGGCAATGCTGATTCCCCTGTGCCCCCAAGAGTTTATATACACCCCGATTCTCTGGCTTCTGGAGACACCTGGATGAGACAGGTGGTCAGTTTTGACAAACTCAAGCTCACCAACAATGAATTGGATGATCAAGGACATGTGAGTCAAAGAATCCTGTCTCCCCTTTCTTTCTCTCTTCCCCTGTTTGTTTTAGAGCTGGCTAGCCCCTGTCTTTTTCAAATAGGTAAAATAAGGAATCTCTGTGCCACTTTAAGTCATTTTAAGTAAGTAAGCATAAAAGTGTTTTTTTTTTCCAGTTAAATTCCATTTATTACAAATCTAACATTTAGCAAACATCTGTTATACATCAAGTTGTGTTTACCAGACAAAGTCCTTGTGCTCCAGAGGCTTACAGTCTAGTAGAGGAGGCAAAACAGAAAAACAAGACAAATTAACCAGTGGTAAAAGAAATCACAACATTCAGTAGAATAACCCAAAGGCCATAAAACAAGAGAAACAAGTGAATGACAGTTTCAACTAATTTGTCAAGAATTTTTTTTTTATAGGGAAGACTAAATCTTAAGGTTTTCCAGGTATAACTGGAGCATGTGATGCTATTAATATATCTTTGGCAGTGAAACACATATTGAATTTTCACTGAATGGCAGGACCCATACTGGGTGCTATGGGAAGATTGAATAAGTTAAAACCATTGCTTCCATCTTCAAGGAAATAACAATTTTCTGAAAGAGTGAAAACCCATATCTACCATTCACTCTCACATAACAAAATAATGTTCACATATTCAATAATGAATGCAAATAATAGAATGTAGAAATTTAAAGACAGCATGAATACCTGCTGAAAATTTGAAGCTGGAGGGAATAACTAGTCACATGGCAGAGGTTCTGTGACCTTTTAGTGATATGTTGTCCATTGATACTAGAGAAGTCATTCGACATTATCCAATTGAAGCAAACATATTACTTTTACCATCCATGATAAGGATGTCCTGCTATTTGGTTCCATGTAATGCTAATTAATCGCTTAGTTCTTCCTGGCAAGTATACTGATTTCTAGTTTTCTGTACATCTCACCTCCAATCTGTCCTTTTCCTAGTGCTTCTACTTAGTGATGTATTTTGCATGAGAGCACAATGTGGGTTCCTTAAAGCCAAGCCTGGTACAAGTCCCCTTTTTATTTCAGATCATTCTGCACTCTATGCACAAATACCAGCCTCGAGTTCATGTGATTCGCAAAGACTTCAGCAGCGACCTTTCACCCACTAAGCCTGTTCCTGTTGGGGATGGAGTGAAAACGTTCAACTTTCCTGAGACTGTGTTCACCACAGTTACGGCCTATCAGAACCAGCAGGTAAGAGGTGGCCCTTGAGAGTCTTCTGCTACATCTCTTTTTAAGGCAAGAAATGCTTAGTCCTGCATGGCACTGAAGAGTTAGTATGAGAGAAAAGAGTTTTTCAGTACATACAAGGCATTGGTGATAACAATATGGTAGTGCCTAGTAACAGCTTACACCATCTAGGTTTAGATCAGAGACAAGATCTTGACTGAGAAGACCAAACCTATTAAATTATTTTTATGTCTCTCTGTACTTGCACCTGTGTTCATGATCTCTACTACATCCTGGCAAATGATCCTCATCGTTTGGAATTCCTTTGCAAGTACTGAGGTTTGAGTCATGCCTTCTCTCTTATACACAATTTTCTGTGTATCCTTCCACCAGGCTACATCAAAGTCATCAAGCTATTGTGGGTCTATTTAAGACTCACCACTTCCACTTACACTTTCAGATTAAATTTACTTCTGTGTGACCACCAGCCACATCGTAACATCTGTAAGTTTATGTCTGTAATACATTCATTCATTCCATAAATATTTCTTGAGAACATACTATGTTCCAAGTTTAACAGAGAAATAGAGCTGATTAAGATGTATTTTTTGTTCGAGAAAAGAAGAATTTTTGTTGAATGAAAGACGTGTAAATACATAATGATCGGAAAATGAATTAACTCAATAACAGAGATGTAGGCAGAATGTTTCTTGGTTTGTGGAATAAGGTAAGTTTTCCTGGAAGAGTTGACACTTTTCTGATGTACACACACACACACACACACACACACACACACACACACACACAAGCCAGAAAAATGCAGGAGAAATATGTGTAGGAGGGGGGAAGGAGAAGTCAAGTCTGGAATTACTGTGGGTATTCTAAACATGTTTTTTGTTTTTGTTTTTGTTTTTATATATTTTTTTGGAGGAAGGTGGCTAGGTGGACTTACAAGTGGTCTCACTCTACACAACTCCCTAAAAGTTGCATAAGAATGCCATTTTTATTAATTGGATGATATTTAATTATTTGTCAAAATATGTAATTACAAAGACTCTGCAGTGAACCTTTCCAAAACAAAGAAATTTTTTGTTTATCTTGCTTGAAACTGTGCTTACTTTTATTTGGGGCCTATGGAAGCAAAGTGAATGTGCACTGTTATACTCAATACCTTTTGTGTTGGATACTCTGCTTCATGCTCTAACAGTGAAAGCAATATATAGAAAAGCATTCATTTACTAATTCTTTATCAAGTGATTATTATGTGCCAGGCAGCTGAAGGTGAATTATGTAAGTATTGACTCAGATAAAAAGGGTATTTCTATCTTTCATGGTCCTTCTGCATAAGATTCCTTAGGTATTATTTACTTTCAGAGGAATTTGACATACAACAACCTTTAGTCCACTAAATGTTAAGTACTATACAGTGTTAGACTTCTCAGCAGCTGTAAAGTGTTTCCAACTTCAGATTTTCCTAGTGAATGCTACATTTCATCAAAAATAGAAGAAGAGCTTTAGTTTGGTTTGGGTGCTATTTAAGAAACTATTAAACTGTCTCAAATTCCTTAGATAGTAAAAATGCAGAAGCCATGGAGAATCCATACAGAAAACTGTAATAATTAAGATTTTTCAAGCTCTGATACAAGATATAGCATCAATATAGACATGGACTTTGGAGCAACCGGAACTTTGGGATTAGTTCTGGCTCAGAAGAAGGGGAGTAAGATTCTGAGTTCTCTGGATAACTGATTAGACTTTTCTAAGAGTACTCCAGCCACCATTTAAAATAGTTAGTTTCTGATGAAGGCAGTGATGTGACAATAAATATTTCAACATCAGCATTTACTTTGTAGAACACTGAAGAACAAACATTCTACTGCCTTATTGAGATCAGTTATAGAGACCAGGAGAGCCAGTATTGTAACCCAAGTTGAAACTAGAAAGCTACAACTCACTTTGACAATGAAAGAGGACCAAGCATGGATTTCTGACAGCCTCTTCACATCCTTTACCTTCTTTCACAGATAGTGTTCTAGTACATGAGTACATTTTATCATAGAAATATTTTGTTCACATCTGGGCTGAAGTGGGAGCAGGACACCATGGTTAAGATCATGAAATTTGGCAGCAGATAAACTAGGTTTGATTTCTGATCCTTTCATTGACACTGTGTGGCATTAATTCCTTTCAACTTGCGTTTCCGGTCTTGAAAATGCGCCTGCCTCTTAGAGCTATGAGGACTACATAAGGGAACGTGTGTAAATTCACAGATACAAACCTGACATCTAATTAATAGTAGTCAACCTACGTTGCTCTGTGGCTAGGTCTGAACAGGCATGAAAAGTGGGGCATAGAAGCAATTTTAAAGAATAAATTGCTTATTAAGGAAAAAGTGCATTGTTGGAAATTGGAGGAGCTGCAATGGCTCTCAAAGGAATTATAATCCATAGGTAACTACTTTGATCTCTCTGTCGTCATGTCATATTGTTGAATTCATGATGTGCTGACATTCAAAATAGATGAGTCATACTCAATTCTGCCCATTTGGGATCAAGATGACAGCTTTTGCCTGTTTAACAAGCCTCTAATCCCTGGATAAATCAACAAGCATGCTTATTTAACATTCCCTTTGGCTGTGCAGATATGATTTAATATAATACAGTAACTTCTAGTAATACAAAATAACCTTGAGTCTTTCCCCCAGGGATCCTGAAGTTTGCATCCTGTAGGTCAGAGCTGTTACCTAACTATACTTTTCAGACGTATTCTGAAGATGCCAGGTAGCATAAATTGTTCTCTTTTGTGAGCTATTTTCACCTATTACTGTGTTTTTATTCTTCATAACCTTCTGGAATGAGAACAATCAATACGGCAAAATTATTTACTTCATCTATTTCTTTTTAAGGAAATGGTTAGTAGGCCTGTGAAACAGTAAAGAGAAAAAAACTTAGTGGTAGGTCCTTAGTGTTCTCAGGAACTTGTTTGGGGAAACACTGAAGAAAAGACAATAGAGCGAATGTAATGGAAATGGAACATTACCCTGACTTTCTAATGAAAAGCAGTGTCCTGCTTCACAGACAGCAATGAACTAGACATTCGGAGACCTGGGTTTTAGTCTTAAATTTTCTACTAGCTACACACGTTGCTCTGAGCAAGTTGTGTTTTTTTTACAATCATCACACTTCAGTTTCTTCTCTTAGAAAATGAGGAATTGGCCTGTGCTTTACAAGGTCCCTGCTAGCTCAGGAATTCTAATTTATCCCTCTTTTTTTCTGCATGATTTTTAATGAGGATTGGGAGCAATTGTTCTCAAACCAATACAATCAACACGATTTTCAGCTACTGAAAATTATTACAATGTTCATGTCTGAAAATTGTTTTTATTCACCAGATAATCTATACCAATACATTTTTAATAAGTCTACACTTGAAAGGTATGAACATGGTGTTTTGTAAATAAGATATTCCCCAATATACTGTTTATTTGTGACTGTTTTCAGTTCTCTTGCTGTTTTTATTTTTTGTTTGTTTGTTTTTTGGGATAGGGTCTCGCTCTGTCAACCCAGGCTGGAGTGCAGTGGTGTGAACATGGCTCACTGCAGCCCTGGCCTCCTGGGATCAAGCCGTCCTCCTGCATCAGCTTTCTGTGTAGCTGGGACCACAGGCGGGTATCACCATGCACATCTAATTATTTTGATTTTTTTTTTTAGAGATGGGATCTCATTTTGTTGCCCAGGCTAGTCTTGAACTCCTGGGCTCAAGCGATTCTCCCACCTCGGCCTCCCAAAATGTTGGGATTACGAGTGTGAGCCTTCCGTTGTTAAACACCGTGTTCCTGCTAACTTCCATCTTGTCACCCAGGTTGAACACCTGGCTGTCACAACATCCAGTCTGCCACTAATGTATTTTGCTTCTACTGATAGAATATTTTCTTCTTTCTAATCTAATTGATTTTGCCCTTGTTCTGTTCCTGCCTTGCCCCAGACCTTGGGTTCTTATGATAGCTTCCAGTTAGGTCACCTGGACTGCAAGCTTAATGTCTCACAAGACATCCTATACATCATTGTAAAGCACAGCGATAATTGCACCATTTCTATGCCAAAAATTGTCAATGACTCCTCAGTGCCTAGGGAGTCAAGTCCTGGACCCCGAGTCTTTCCAATAGTGTCCTCTGTAGCTAAAAACCAACTACATTTCTAGGCTCAATTTCTGTTATTCCTCCTCACACATCTACAAGAGAGTTGCAATCTGGTCAGATTTTTACTGTTGCCTGAACTTTGTTGCATCCTTGCCTTTGTATGTCCCTTTTTCTTTTCTGGGAATGCCCTTCACTTTCATTTTTGTCTGTCTTGATTCCTTCTACTCTTCAAAAATTCAGTGAAAATACCATCCCCTACCACTTCCTTCCTTTTTTCCAGCTGCAAATGAGCTCTCCCCAGTTAGAACTGTTAGGGGGCTGCACTCTCTTATGACCTCATCACATTGTAACTTTGACGTGCATCCCCACTCTTCCTCTTGATATTTTGAGCTTTTTAAGAACAAAAGTTGTACCTTTTACAAATAAAGAGTATGATGTAGCAAACCTGAAGTTGGGAGTTAGGAGACTTGAGTTCTAGACCCAACTCTGCAGTTGACAGACGGTACTACTTTTGACAAATCACTCTACCTTAGTATTCTCATTTACAAATTGATGATTTAGTCTGAATCAGTACTAGTCTATGGAGAAGGTTTTATGGTCCACTGAAAAATGAGAAAAATATACAAATATAGAGACTTTTATGAATGTAGACTCTCAATTTAATAGACTATTTTATTTTGTCTTTCCTACTTTTTAGATATAAAAATGTCACTATTTTATGAAATTATGAGACAGGAGAGAGTAGATAGGTGTTAACTGTCTCCATTTGGTAGAATGAAAAATTGGGATGTAATGTTGATTCCTCAAATGATGGGAGGGGGATTAGAATTGGCCTAAAAAATTCTGAAGCACATCTCCATAATTCTAAGATATTTGTGTCTGACCT